TGTTTATTTAAAATCCTAACAAATAAAATGTTGCATACATTGTTAACTCAAATTGTGATTTGGATTTCCATTTGCTTTACGTGATGCTTAACAACTCCTTTAAAGTAATAAACCATAAAGTAAATATTAATCAAACCAAAGAATAAATGCTTAAAGTGAAAACTATTTCTATTTTTGTATAACAAAACTACAACTATTTTTGTTACACAAAATAGCTAAATAAAGTCCCTAATATATATAAGAGTGTTGTGGGCCTCACATCTAAAAATCCAATGGATGAGATACACCATATTTGAATTCAAACTCCAAATCAAATTTTAATTCAAATAAACAAGAAGAAAAACAAAACAGAAAAAGAAAAGAAGGAAGCCTCGCAGTCGGCTCGGCCTGCTCGGCCCGCTAACCAACCCAGCCTGCGCTTGCCTAACTCCCCCGCACGCGCTGTAGCACCAGGCCCAGCAAGCCGGCCCAACGCGCCGCTCACGCCCGCGTGCCCTTTTACCTCGCCTGCTGCCGCTGCCAACCGGACCCCACGCGTCAGCCACCCCAGCAACAGGGCCTTCTTCCTCCCCACGAAAATCTCTCCTCCCGACCGAGCCCCGACCAGCGTGGTAGGCATGGGCCAGGGGGTCACGCAAGAAGCATGACCCTGTTCCCTCCTTGCGCCGCGCCTACGCTACCGCACGCGGGCCGTTGGATGCGCCGCACACATCACCACCGCCCGATCACCGTCCGCCATTGGAGCCCTTGGAGCTCGGCTATAAAAGCCAACGCCCATGAGCCCTAACCCTCAGCCGTTCGCCGCCGCCGCTGGTGGCACAGCACCACACCGCGTCAAGCCGAGAGAGAGGGAGGAGGAAGAAGCAAGGAGGAGAAGGAAGCCGCTGCGGGGAGGAGCTCGCTGGAGCCGGAGCGAGCGACGCCGCACTACCCTGCTTCCGGAGCTGCACGGCCACCACTACATGGCACCGCCACCGCCTTCAAACTCCCCACGGTGAGCACACTTCGCTGAGACCACTCCTAGCCCCTCGGACGCCATGAACGGACCATGCCGGAGCATGAGCTTACAAACACCATGTCGACATCAGGCCGTCCACACCGCACGCCGCCACTCTCTTCGCGCACACAAGCACCCACGCTCACACACACTGGTCGACGCGCACGCACGCGCTGCTCGAAGACACGGCCACTGGACACACGCACGCGGGGCACCCACACAGACACGCTCGGGCGCACTCACCATGGCCTAGAGCACGGCCGTGGAGAGGCCGCCTTGGCCACCCCACCGCGTGAGCCACGCCGTTTGCACCCTGCCTGGCTCCACGACAACTCGGGACACACCGCGCGCACCAACAGAAGAGAAGAAGGCCGCTGGTGCTCTGTCTAGCACGCGCCGCACCCCACCGAAGCACCACCGTGTCCTTCATGGCCGCACCATGGCCGAAGCCACCAGGAGCCTCTAGCGCCCATTCGACCTGCCCGCCACACCCACCGGAGCCACGGGGAGCTCACGCACCCCACAAAGCCTGCTCCCAGCCACCGCACAGACCAGCCGCCGTCGACGCGCCGCAGCCGAGCCACCGTTGCCGTGGCCAGTCCTTTGGGAAGCCCTAACCGTCACTCTGACCTCACCATCGTGTTCGTCGAGGCGAGGGGATGATTTCGCCCAAGCTAATTGCACCCTAGCGCCACTGGAGCCGCTAATTAGGCGAGCTCGCCGTCGACGGGCACCACGCCGCCGTCTGATCGAAATAGAGGAGAAGAAGGGGGGGTGCGGTGCACCCGGCGCACAGTGCGCCAGGAGAGAGAAAAGGAGGATGGACCGGGTCCACCATGGACTCGGTGTGCGGTTCATGAATCGTAGAAGGGTGGTCCACCATGAACCAATTCCGTGGACCCAGGCCCAATAAAAGCCCACATGGGCGACGTGGCCTCACCAGTGAGCACCACGTGGCGAGCTGAGCCCATCTCAAATCCAACCCTGTCCAGGCCTAGTCGAGACCCAAACTGGTTGACCGTTGACCGGTCAGCATTGACCGTTGACCGGGCCCACAAGTCAGCGACACAGAGCCGCTGGACCCACTTGTCAGTGGATGATGTCATGCTGATGTCATGATAACATCATGCGGGTCCCACCTATCAGTGACAAACACAGCCGGGGTGACGTCATGATGATGTCACGATGACATCAGCTGCTGACGTCAGCATCTCTTACCCACCTGTCAGTGCCGGAACCGAGACGATGACGTCATGCTGACGTCAGCAAGCCACGTGGACCAACAGGAGCGTGACACTTGTCAACACGATATTAATTCAGGCTTTTTCTATTTTCAGAAATGATTGAAACTTCGAAATTTCATAACTAATTCATACGAACTCAGAAAAATACAAGACCAGGACCAAAATTCATCTAAAATCGAGCTCTACGCAATGAGCCCATGTTTGAGTGCATTTGGCTCTTTTGAATTTTTATTGCTTTTTGTGCTATTCTATAGATGTCGCTAACGCGACTATAATGCGATCGTTTGTAGACTCAGAGGAGAACCGGACGGACGAGGACCAAGAGTACCATGAGGAGTACGGAGATGACTACACTGAAGGTGCCACATCCCACCCAATCTCGTACCACCTATTACGCATGGCTAATATAGAGCTGCTATTGCTTTACTTTATTGTTATAATCACACTATGATAGGACTTGCATGGTAGTATGCTTTCTTAATGGCCTTTACCTTGACGCAACCTTACCCCTGCTCACCCTGCTGTTTGGCTAAGTCACACGCTTGCTACTATATTTCACTGCTTATTATTTCTACTATGCTTATATATACCATATTGATGCGTAGTGGAAACTGATGTTATCCGAACTAAGGGGAGAGTGTTGCGTGTGTGACTTGGGTGCGTGGAGGATGAGGGGTGTGTCAACCAAGTTGGAGTATACGACGAGCCTAGGGCAAGTCTTGCCGTGGGGTGCTACCTGGGCACCCCTGGAATGGATACCTGTGGTGGGTAAATGGTGATATAAGGTGACCCTGGGTGTGAACCTGTGATGGGAGGAGCCCGGGGTGGAGGTGCTGTGGTGGCACGGTAAATGGAAACCCTGATGAAGACATTCTGGTTTGGTCATCCCTAAGGACTTACTAGTACTCAGATTCACCGGGAAGCCTTACGTACCACTCGCCCTATATGGTGCGGGACGACCGGACTACTTGGTAGGATATTGCCACTACTGCTAGGTTGATAGCGGACAGTGCGAGGAGGTACGGGGCGCGGAGGATTCCCCCCACACCCTTCCGAGACATCATGGATACCTTGTGGACCCGGCTCATGACTCATAGTTTCAGCCACCCTAGACTAGACTTGGGGTGTACCAGGGCTGAATGATAGAGTGGCATTATCCTAGGCTAGCAAGCGGCCGGAATCAGCCCAGTTGACGACGGTCAGCGAGGAAGGCGGATCTTGTGGTTATGTAAAACCTCTGCAGAGTGTATGGTTAATCGATCGATACATATGCCGACTTGTCGGCTACGGACCTTTCCTGGGTTTCGCTTAAACTAGATAGTGAGATGAGTCATTCTCTTCTTCCCCCGTGAGAGAGTGTCGGTCGTAGCCTGGGGCTACGGGCCATGAGATAGTGCCGAGATAGAGTTGGCCTGTCGACTGAGCGATGATATGGTGGTGATGTGGTGATGATGTGGTGATGGTGTAGAGATGGTGGTATATCGATCCCTGGATCGAAACCTGGCTCTGGACGGAAATGGGGTGGAGATGGTGGTATATCGATCCCTGGATCGAAACCTAGCTCTGGACGGAAATGGGGTGGAATGGGTGTGGAAATAGTGTTAAAACTTGACCAACTGTTATTATATACTTTATATGCTAATACATAGGAAATCCCAGCCTTATAGGTTCTTTTTTATTATATCCAACTTGCATCCAATTTCCACAAAGCAATGTTCATAGGGTGTGAGTGGTCAGTACAAATCGTACTGATAAATTTTGGCACATAGGTTCTGCTGAGGAGTATAACTCTGAGGAGTTTGATGGTTGAGGGGTTCGTTTCTACGCTTGAGTTTGGCGATCTTATCTTCAAGCTGTTCTGAATGAATGCTACTTTTGATTCAGCCAATGCGGCGATGTAATAATTTATGTAATTCCGCACTATTTGTACTCTGATATTATCGTTGTATGGATGTGGTATTCGACTGAAATTTGGGTAATATGATCTACAACGGTCATAATACACTTCGGCTCTATGGATTTCCCTTCGCGGAAATCAGGTCGTTTCAGGGCGCCTCATGGAAGGGGGCGAAAAACACGAAGTCGGAACACAAGAGCACGACACGAGCACACGGCCTAAGCGACAAGCGAGCTCTCAGCACCCGTTCACTCTTTCCACCAGAGACTTAGAATCCTCTCCGTCTCTCGTCTGTCTGTAACCCCTGCTGCAAACCAAGTGTCGGTAATACGAGCAGCAACGAACTGGACGTAGGGACGTTCCGCCCGAACCAGTATAAACCCTTTTGTACTCCGAGCACACCATCCGGACCAGACGCGCAAATACAAATTTACTCGTCGGTGGTCCGAAAACACCGACGAGAATAACTACACATTCTGTTAAAAAAAAGAGAGGAAAGAATAACTACCCATTCAACATATACTACGAAAAATATACTCAGTATGCTAACTATAAATTACAGCTGTCTACGGGAAGCTAAAATGACCCTCGAATACAAGAGCTGTTCAATCAATCCAAATATACATATAGACAATAGACTAAAACGAAGGAGATGGCATTCTAGCGCACATGTACAAATGCTTGTAAAAGAATAGTTCATTATCCTACAAATTGACCATCGATCACATCTCATGGATTCTAGAACCTCAAAGACTACTACTGTGCCCCACATCTTGGAATCATGCTCTGCTCCTCAAGTAATGATCCACCGTATCATGCTCAGCTCTGTTCCTCCACCACCTGCCAAATGCTTAACCTCTAATTACAAGAAGTACGTCAGCTGCTGTTTCTTCCTGGAGCCCCCTTCGCCGTACAGGTCGTTCCATTGCTTGAGCTCGTTCATCACAGCACCCTCGGCGGCGAAGCTCGCTGCAACCTGCATCATGAGGGGTAAAGGGCAATGGTTCAGTGATCTACGTCGATTCTGTTCATGTGCCATGCAAATCAGGACGTTGGAACACTCACTTGGTTCTTTGCCTGCCTCAGGTCTTCCATCGTCAGTGGCCTAAGGTCAATGGCCCCTTCCTTCTCGCCTTCAGCCTTCGCCTCTGAGCTATCCGCCTCGCTGTCTGAATTCTCGTCTTTGCTGCTTTCTGAACTCTCCTTGCTCTTCGGAGCCTCTTTGCTTTCTGAGCCCTCCTTCTTACCCTCCAGAGCTTCCGAATTCTCGGAAGCCTTCTCTTTTGGCTCCTTTTCCCTTCGCTCCTGAGGCACCATCAGTTCATTCGACACGTATTGCAGGATCAGTACAAGGTGATCGCTCGCTCATAATTGGTTACTGGCATCTAGCTGAAACCCATGGCATATTCAGTTAGAGCAACAAGACAGAACTCTTACCAGTTCTTTCTCTCTTTCTTTCTTCAGCAGCTCTCTAACAGGCTGGTAAGCAGCAGTGACACAAAGATTCTGGGGCAGAGTAAAACAACAGCTTTCAGTTATTTAATCCGATAGTGTGGGATACTAGCTTCATATATATGAATATAAATATAAACTTCGTTTCAAAGCAGTACACAAACCTTGAGATCACTGCCACTGTATCCCTCCGTTATGGTTGCAAGTTCCTTGAAATCAATATTTTCGTCAATTTTCTCCTTTGACAACAGTGTCCTCAAGATCAGCTCTCTGCTCTCTTGAGTTGGAAGCCCAACCATGATTCTGTTAAGTAAACAAAAAAGAGCAAGCTATTAGCAACTCAAGCTCTAAACTTGTAGTGCATCAACAATCCCTAAAAAAATGGTAGCATAGCTTGTGAAATGTGAACAGACCTGCGCTCAAATCTCCTGATGATGGCTTCATCAAGGTCAAACGGCCTATTTGTCGCGGCAAGAACAAGAATTCTTTCACCTGTTTTTGACAAGAGACCATCCCAGTGACTCATGAACTCGTTCTTGATCTTCCGCATCGCCTCATGTTCACCGTAGCGAGCGCGCTGCCCCAACATGCTGTCTACCTCATCCACAAAAATAATAGTGGGAGCTACCTTGGCAGCCAAACTGAACAATGCCCGGACATTTTTCTCATCCTCCCCAAACCATTTCGATGTGATGGTGGACATCGATACATTGATGAAGCTGGCACCGGCGTCATTTGCTATAGCCTTTGCAAGCATGGTCTTCCCGGTTCCAGGTGGCCCAAACAGTAAAATGCCTCTGCAGGGCTTCAGAAGTCCTCCTTTGAAAAGATCGGGCCGTCGAAGAGGAAGCATAACCAGCTCCTGAAGAGACTCTTTGATATCAGCCAGGGCTCCAATGTCATCAAATGTCACTCCTATCTCACTTGCCGGAATAACCTCTGGTCTGATACGCTTTTCAAACTCATTGTCTGGAACTTCCTGCTCAAAAGCCGAAAATCCATCAAGCTAAAAAACACATAAATGCTGTTAATTTTCAGAGAAAAAAATCATGATACTTACGTTGACAAACACTAAACACGCAATAAACTAGTAGAAGTGTAGAACACAGGGCAGAGTCAACTGATGAGGACTTACTGGTTTTGGTGGTGGCGATGGACCTTCGCCAACCGGAACTGTCTCAGTTTTCTTAGATCCAGGAGCTCCTTTCAAACCATCCTGTATCATAATATCATTGAAGTTAGCATAATTAATACAATGACACACTATTTGAGCAGTTGTCCTATTTGCATACCTTTGTTTCTTCCAATTTCAGGGTGTCTTTCCCACCATGGCCACCTTGGAAAATGCTTAAACCATGGGACAAACTGTAAAATAAATTTATATTATGGTCTCCAAGGAAAAACCTTATCATTAGGAGTTCAAGGACACTACACTAGTATTTGAACAAAAAAGGGAAGAAAATTAGAAAATCAGAATCAGTGGCCAACCTTTTAGAAGATAGCATGAGCTTTCCATTTCTGTATTCGGGGTCTTTGTTGTGAATCAAGTGGTAGGAGACGGCTGAGACAATGATTTCCTCTATGTAATTGCTGAGAACCATAGTATCTGCTTCACTGATTGAGCTCAAATCATCACAGTCTAGATCATTTGCTGAGAGTACCTCTATGATGTGGTTTCTATTATCTTGCATCTGGATTTTTCTTGTGTCTTCCTCAATTTGGCTTTTCCAACAATCTAGATGGGTCTCCTCCTCAGGAGCTTTGATATCAACATGGTAAGGAAACAGGGTACTAATTCTCTCATCGGCATCCCTGTTATCAGCATCATGACTGAGTAGCCGAGAACCAAGTATCAACACTTGACCGGATAATTTGGCCAACATTTTCTGGAACATTGAGTAAGTTCTTTGCGATTTCCAGAGGAAATGGTCTACATCCCTTATGTAAAGAATAATCGGACCGTTTTCAGATACAGAAACCATAACCTACAAAAGTGGTTGCCAGATAAGTACATCAAAACTAAATAGAGCGAATCAAGTTACAGTCAAGAAGTATATTCACCTTGTAGAGTGACTGGATCAGAACTTTCTCATCGAAACACCAGCTACCGGTTCGCCTCACTGAAATTTGCATAAAGAAAGGTGAAGAACTATAAGACACTTCTGTGCTATATGGTCCTATAGTACAACTCTAGCAAGAAGTGCTACTGTACTAGCACCCTATTTCATTCATACATGTAAAGATTAGCAATCAGCATGTGAAACGTAGATGCAATTTCATCCAAGAAAACAGAGTGAACATAACACATGCCATTTATATGTCAGAACTAATATCGACACATGTACATAATTTTACCAGAAAATGTGGACGCCGAGCAGTCTGAAACTGATGGAGGCTAGTAAGTGTGATCTAGGTAGGAGCTGTCTACACTAAACTCTGCACATATATGACATCAAAATAACTAAACAGAAAAGGAGAAGAGAAATGAACAGAAAAAAGTTCACCTGAATTTCCTGCACATTGTGAGGCAAGATCGCTCATGTCGGATGATACAGAGCCATTTTTCCTAAGCGAAGGTGTACTGCTAGAACCATCAGAGCCTCTGAAGAAAACAAAACATGGATGAGTAACATGGTATAAGCTACTGCTGTTCATCGCAGTCTTGATAAACAGCACAGCAAGTACATTACCTTGCCCTTAAATCCGTGTTGCTTGTCTGGCGACGCTGTGATTCTGCCCAAAAAAAAAACCCAGATCAGATCAAAATTTGGGCAATAACATCACTGCTTGATAAGAATGGGTTCATTTGAAATACTGGACACATGGTAGGCCTAAAAGGTGATAAGATCAAAGTGCGCATGCTTGTAGTTTTTACTTTAGAGTTGTGTACTTGATAGATATTTAATTATCTCATTAAAAAAATGTGAGAAACAACAAATAAACCAAAGGGAATCTGTAAGCCTTAACTACCTCTAGGCTCATCCTTCTTAGGATATGCCATAAAGGATCCAATGAGATCAGACATCCTCCCGAACGTGGTCTCAGCTACAGACTGATTACGGGCCTGCAGAAGCAAGTCAAACAACAAACCCATGGTTATCGGTTCACTAAAATAACTGATCACTATACCAGCGTCCCTGGATCTCTTGTTGAAAAAAAAAATCTGAGCTGTAGCAAGTGTTTTTGTTCAGCAAAACAGTGTTCTCATGATGTGTATGCGCATTCAGTTCGATTAAAAAACAGTAGAAAAACACGATCATAAGGAACAGTGTCGTCAGATTAGAAAACAAAAGGAGAATCCGAGGAGATCAATCAGCATTATTCTCTCTACCAAAAAGCTCTCGAACTGTGTGACTCACCGTGGCCTTAGTGGAGCCCCCGTATTTGCTTTGGATCTGCAGAGACATTGAGCGGCACCAGATTCAGAACACAACATGGCAAAAGAAACCACAAGCCAAGAATCACGATGGGAACAGTTCTCACCCGAAGCGAGAAGTCGGTGGCGTCCAGAATTAGCAAGCGCGCCTTGAAGTAGTGGGACAGAGCTTTCGCGAGCGACTGCAGGTAAGGCTCTGCAAAGACGTACAACAGCAGCCAACAAGGTCACCATCCATCAGCGAAACATGGGGACAACACACCGCACCACCCTCTGCCCACAAGCAAGCAGCGAACAGGGCTTGCGAAACGAACCTGTGGGGCCGGAGAGCAGGATGGCGCGGCTGGCGGCGGAGAGGTTCCGGATGTGCTTGGACAGCTCCGCGTTCTTGAGGTGGACGAAAGCCGCGCTGATGAGCACCTCCCTCGTCTGATCGCTGCAGGGAATTGAATCACACTACCACCTCAGTCGCTGTCCGTGCCATCGTAGTAATGATTATAATAAATAAACAAACAAACTGAAGAAGCCATGTGCTGCGGTTTGTGTGGATCAAGTAACCCCTCTTGCTTTTTCTAGAACACGGCTCCGATCGTGCCTGCCATGCCATCGCTTGTGGATAAAGAAAAGCTAATAACGATATGTACTGCTAGTAGCACGAACCGCTAGAACAGAGGAACTGCTAGTACTAGTACTACTCGAGTGAGTGAAGTGGGGAAGCCATCAGATATTCAGATTCATGGAGAAGACAAGGCGAGCAGCAACGCCGCAGATCGATGCGTCTCGAGCGATGTGCTGTGCCAAATCGGATCGCACTAGGGAACTACGGAATCAGATCTTCCTCGAATCCCACCCACCAACCGAATCGAACTCGATTACTATTACCTACCTGAGGTAGTAAGGGAACTTGTCGAAGGTGACGTCGCACTCGCGGCCGTCGAGGACCAGCCGCCGCAGCTCGGCCTCCAGCTCCGCGGCGCCGGCGCCGAAACCGTCGCCGTTGGGCGCCGGCTGTACCGCCCACTTGGCCGACGCGAGCCCCAGCCCCACGCCGACGCCAACGCCCAGGGCCGACACCAGCAGGCTCCTCTGCTCCATGGCCGTCGTCGAAACAACTCGAACGCTGCCCCGATCGGTCGATGGATCGCCCGTCGCTCGCTGGCTGTCGTCGGAGAGCGAAGAGATGGAGTGCCAACTGCCAAGTGGGGTGTGGGCGTGCGTGAGTGAGGGAAATGAGCCATGGCGGACGGGGGTGGGTGGGTTTATATAGGGAGGCGGCGGGCGGCGGGCGAGCGGAGGGCGAGAGGAAAAGAAAAAGGAAAAAAAATGCTTGGCTTCGCGGCGAGGGCAGCATGGGATTTTGCGGTCTCATGCAAAGTAACTTTTTGCAGGTTGCTGAGTTGGTGCTGTTTCAGCCCACCGCTGGATACTTTGTTTGCTACCGCTTTTTATATATTTCTATATTCATCTCTTTCATAACCTATAAAGTATCAAGCATTCAAATTTATAGTTGTGAACAAACTCTTTAAAAAACAAGTTAGCCTTTTGCCAGATTTTTTATTTTATCTGAAAATCGCTTGGATCACTTACCTTACAAGAGGGAGGGAGTATAATTTGATGTTAGAGCACGGGTTGCCTATACTTGATTTAGGAGAGTCACCTATTCAGACAACCAATTACCTTCATAGCGCCCATGGCATGGATGTGACCCATCTATCCTCCATGGAGCATACCCATCTATACCATAACTAATAAATCCTAGTCGAAGCCAACGAGTGAACAGACTGCTTGTCTACGTTGATTTGGCATGTCAACTTTTTGAGGCTCCTTTCGGCACGGCTCTCGCTGGCTTTGGGAATTGGTGAAGATAAAACAACGTGATTTTCGGCGCATCGTGGGTTGTCTGGAGGTACACGGTTCACTCCTATAGTAACGGCGTGATGGTGTCAGGTGAAACCGAAGCTGATGAAATTAAAGCACTTTGGCACGCAGATTTCTCGCCGGTTTCAGCTTTGCCGTTGTAGTGGTACTGTAACGGTAGCAGGTGAAGCCAAAACAACCGGGTTTAGCGTTTTCCAGCTCATTATGGGTTGTTTTGTGGAGGTAAATGCATGGCTCACTGACACCGCTTACAGGTGAGAACACTGTAGGCAACAACAGATATTATTTAACGATAAATTTGTGTATGTAATGATGCTGATTTGATGTCATAAATTGAGTTTCAATCCAAAGAACTTGTGCATAGTATATGAAAAGAAAGAGTTACAAAATGAGAAGAAAAATAACAGCTCATTATGTACTTTAGTTTTTGAGTTTCCTCTATCTATATATATGCCTACCCCTCCTCTACTTGGCTTTCCTGCAAAAATCAATCCGCTGCGTACACGCTTAACCAAATTCAACCCATTTTCATAAATTTAGAACCACCACGGTAGTATTTGCTTAACCAACTTGGTCAAAAAAAACGACCCAAATAGCAAGTCGACTATCTAACTACTAGAGCAACTAAAGAACAACTCTAGCAAAGAAGACAACTAGCAAAAACGACTTGGAGCACCGAGCTAACGACACACCAAATTTCGGTATTTGCAAAAATGGAAATGACATGTTGCTGCTTAAAACATCTAGTTCTATCCTATCGATCTATCCAAACGATCTGTAATCTGGCCATTGAATTTAATTTTGCACAGAAGAAATTACTCAGTTTGTTTGCCTGCGGGGACCAGGGCATGCATGTGCATGCATGGGATAGCTTAACTAATTACTCATTCACGATGAAAAAGAAAAAGAAAGAGGATGGGGACGACGACGACCAAGGTCAAGGTCGGGCGTGAAGGGCACGGCGTGGTCGGCGTATGGTACGTCCTGTTGGTGGGGACAGACCGACGTGCCCGTGTCGCACCCCTGGACGTGGATCCGCAAGGCCGTCCCTTGGCACGTGCAACGTGTGCGACGGTACAGGGCCTCCACTTTTCAGGGGCCTCCAAATATATATAGAGTATATATACGTATATATGTATTGCTTGGTAAATAAGAACGTACAGCAGTAGCTTTGGCCTTTGGCCCATTAGCAAAGCGACGTGTACAACAATTGACCAAAGCCCAATAAACAATGGCTTGTTGCCCGGCCGCTGTTCAGTTGGCAATGTTGCCGATCCCAATTCCCCAACTGAATCAGATCGCAAATCTTAGGTCTCACGTACTACCTCTCGACGTCTCGTCTCGTGTCGCCGCCATCGCCTGACGCCGTACCGGCCGCCGGCAGCGTTTCGCGAGTGACAGGGCGTGAGCCGTGACGATCTAGCTGCAACCGCAACAGCGAGAGCGAGGCGCTAAGGCCCTGAAGGTAATATAAATCATTCATATTTATTTTTCAATTCATTCACTGGTAGCACTTGAAGGTGAACTGTTGGAGAAAATTGATTATGAGCATATTATTGAAGACTTCATTTCAAAGAACACTAAAAGAATGATGTTATTCAAGTAAAGATTATGTAATATAGGTATCATTCTTGAATCTTGATATATATTTTATTGCAACATACTGCATGCTTTATAATATCGTATATTTAGTTTTTTTTTCTAGGCTAATAGGCCTCATTTCTTAGTATCGTACAGGGCCTCTAATTTTCCCGGGACGGCCCTGGGATCCGACTCGGCACCCGCCCACCAAAGTCGCCTTCATTGATTTTATTCGTACCGATGACTCTTAAAACATGCTGGTAAGTTACAGCGGAACGTATAGCTCGTCAAATGACCACCTAATAAATCATTTTATCTTAGAACTAGACTTCACACTGTGTCTAAACACGCCGCTCTAACTCGTTCAATACATAGTAAATAGCCACAAAAGGCGCTCCATTCTTTAATATTTTATTTGGTATAAGATAAGATAAGATAATATGTATATACAGACGTAGACATAGATATAGACATAGATACCGCCTACCTACCTAGTATGCATGTATGTAAGTACGTGTAGCCTTGGCGGCCTTGCACTTACTGTGGGCACATCATGCATCAATCCACCAATATACAACAACTAACGACGACGCTTTTTCTCTCCAGAAAAGGGAATTTCCGAGAAAAGGCAGAGCAAAGCAAAGCAGAGGAAGAATCACGCGCATGTGGTTGGGGGCGTTGTGCACAGCACACCGTTGGCCGCCACGAGCGGCTGCGAGCGAGCATTCCAAAGGGCAAACCGACACTGTGCTGCCGTGCATTTCCTAGTCATTTGCTGCTAACTTCCTCCTCGCCCGCTCATTCGCTTGTACTACTATTTTTTTAGAGCTAGGTCCGTACGGATCAGAAATGCTTAGGCACGCATAGTGAGTGGACCAGATGGAGCTACAGGTGATGATGATCGACCCAATGGGGCAACCTGATTGGTGACAATGTTAGGTCAAGCGCGTTTATTTATATTTATAAAAATGACGCCGCCTGTCCCATCAAAACCATGCACTTCACTGATGATATATGAGGAGTACCAAGTACAGATTGTTATCTACTTCTACATCCGCCTCCCAAAAAATATTCTATGTGCATTATCAATTAAATTACCTAAAGTTTAATCAAATATATATAGATAAAAAATATTAAAGCTTATGGCGAAAAATAAGTATATTATAAAAATATATTTCATACGAATTTAATGGTATCTATTCTATACAGTGATTTTCACAATATGAGAAAATGGTATGGGCAGCTAATAATAATTAAAAGAACTTTTACAAGCTACATATAGCACAACTAAAAATCAGTGGTGGAGATTCACAAGCTGTTTGGCAGAAAAGGACGGCGCAAATAAAACTAAAACCATCTGCGCATGATATATATACTTAGTAGGGAGAAAAAGTCTGATGTTAATTAGACGCAAACAAACAATTATTAAAGCTTGTAAGTAAAAGTTGTGAACGTGCTAAAGGCAAAAGGCAAGCACGTACAAAGGCTAAACTAAGCGCACGGTTGGATCCAACTCTCCCTGGACTGGAAAAAGGCCAACTAATAGCTTAGCTTAGTGGAACACTCAATATGCAGTAGTGTGTACTCACGGTCACATAGACATTTCAGCTGTGTGTGTTGCCATTGTGGGAATCTTTAGAAACTCCATCAAACTTTCCACTCAAGTTCTACATGTGTAAAGTGTCTGCCTTTGACTCGGTGCGATCTCTCTGGCCTGGACCGAATTTGGCCGGCCCTTAATTATTCTATCTTGCTTATTATTTTTTGAAGAGCCAGCGACACGAATGTGTCGGGCATGTATTAATAGAGATGAAGCAGTTACAATAAAAAAAAAAAAAAACAACCTCATGAAGGAGGCAACAATAAATCCACTACTGCAAGGAACACAAAGCCCACGATCCTCGAAAGCATCAGGCGATGTAGACTAGAAGGGGGAGTAGCTTTCCACAGCGAAGCCTCCAAGGAGGGGAACGACGTCCATAAATGTCATCAACGTCGAAAGGAGAACCAAGGTTTTTCAACCAAACTCCTAAAGGGTGGGGAGCAACATGACAATGCCTCCAACGAGGGATGTGCAACCAAAAGCGTCACCATTGTCGGCCTAAGCCAAAGGGCCAAGCAGGGCCTTCTCCAAATAACCCGCAACACCCAAGCCCAAACCAGTCACATCATGGACGACCACAGCCAACCGCCACCAGCAAGAGATTGCTGCGACACCGGCAAGGTCACAGGCATGCGTGACCTTCCACCGCCACGCCAGCCCACAAGGGTCGCCTTCATCCTACATGGCACCGGCCACCGTGGGAAGCGCCGCCACGTTGATGCACCTCGACGCCCCACAAGCATCTAGGGAAACCACGAGCATCCCCATGCAAGCCACCATCTTCAACGAGCCGCCATCCGTTGGTTGTCGCAGCGGCGGCGAGCCGGCCACAGACATGCATGGCCAGTCACAACCCGCTCCCCAAGACATCTTGCTTATTATTGCATATATATTGTTGTTCGTGAGAATTTGGGAAATATTGATGGTGCATTGGTGCGGCACGCAATGTATCACATATCTTAGGGTACATCTACTACTAATCTCGGTAGCAATTTCATCCTTATTTAACAGGTTGTCGCATATATAGGTATTT